GCAATGCAGCAATCGTGTCCACCCGCTCGTGTTCTGTGTCCACGTCTGTTTTAACTGCATTGTGTTGCGTTAAGTAGCATTCACTCGTGTTCGCCGTGAGCGATCGCGACCGACCGACGGACGTCCAAACAGCCGGTTGCAAAAGTGCAGTCTCGGTAAGTACGATTCTTCTGACAACGGATACGCAGAAGCGACTCACGTCTCGAGATCGACGTGATTTCCTCGGTCAACGGATTGTTCTCGCGGAAATCCGATCGTTATGAGATTTGTTAAAATGGTCCACCTACGATTGTTCGCAGGTCAACCAACTTGGCCATTAACAGCAGCCCGAGAATTTTAAGTCCTACTCGGCAGAATGCTCTCCAAGACAGTAAATTGTTCTCATAAAAATGTGACTCACAATATCGCATTGTAATATTCAATTAAAACACTCGTAGAAAGACTGACTTATTACGGAAGCAGATTACAAAAGGACGTATCATTCGATTGATATTGATATACAATTAAAATGGACAACCTGCTGAAAGAGCTAGAGGCTCTAAAAATTAGGGGTGATTTCTTCGAGGATAATTCCTCGTGGACACCATGCGTGGATTTGATTCAGAGGAGTTTTGTACCGCAAAGAACAATCGGGACAGAGCGTCCATGTGAGGAGAAAGACTTCAGAGAGTATAGGCTTGTTGTAGAAAGAAACTTGCGTAATGTCAGGTCTATGCTGCAACATATTTCTAGCAGTTCCAGGGAGAAGCACTTCCAGCTGAGCAATGCCACTGGGATAGTTAGAGCATTTGGTATGAATCTACTGTTGCTCATTGGAGAACATAACAAAAAGAATATTTGGAACACAGTCGAGTGTGTTTCTATTTCCAAAGAATTACTCACTACTTTCTGTGACCTGTACGCCTGCCAAAGCATCTCACAATTTTTGTCAGAGAATGAGAATTTGCGCAACTTGTTGCTAATGTTAAGACCTAAATTATTAAAAGATACCTGGAAGACTTACCCATCAGCTGTAGCATGTTACAGATGGTTTTTACAAGAGCCAGAAGTAAGTTTGATTTTATTTAAGTCTTGTACAGTACAGTTTATTACCTGAACAAATTCTAGAATTTTGAGATCTCTTGAAAATCTATCTAGATATGGGAAAATTTTTGAAATTGTACTTTTCAATTTAAATTTTAATCGTGTCGTTTTTTGAAAATATTGTTTCTTTAATTGGTTCTTCTTGATGCAAAAAAATGCAAAATATTGACAGTCAGTTAATAATACATCAAGTTGATGACATACATCAAGTTTTATGAAAAAATAACAATAAAAAATAAAATGTGGAATAGTATAGAAATAACTCTATACTGTGATGTTTTTTTTCTTATTTTATTGTAGAAAATGTTACAGTCTCATAGAATTCCTGCTTTTTACGAATATTCAATATATAGTTTATTTTGGATTAGTAATAGTAAGTCTAATTTATTTCAAAGTAGCATTAAAAAGTTTTCTAATCTTATTTGGAATTTTGAACAAACATATCTTGAACAGAGGAAATTCTTAGGAAATTTTATTGCATGTTTTAACACTAAGTACTTTATTATACATATATATATATTTTGACTATATATTTTTTTTCTTCAGAAACCAATTTTATTTAATTATATCGGAGATGTCTTGCCTACTGCATTAATTATTCTTGATGACTATTTTCCTGATAATGTATTAATAGGCCTGGAATGTATTTATCAGATTATTCAGCATTCTTATATGGTATATATGTGTATACATTATTATATAGAATTTATTCTCACACACATATAGTATATCTTATTATGTATTCACTTGACAAATATTTTAGAAAAAAGGACTAATAGATTCTGGTTATGTTAAATTGATTTATCATGCTTTGCAACTTTTAACTCATCAAAAGGAAGCAAGATACATTATTCCTTTGTATTCCTGCATGGCCAGTCTTTTAGCTACCATGGAACATTGGGATAATACCATAAATCTATTTGAGGTATGCTCACAAGATTATCACAGCAATCACAAGATGATCCAGTGCCTTGAAATTATAATTTTCACTTTTGCAGTGGACAACACGTGATGAAGTTCTCTCAACTTTGATAGAGAACATGGAATTTGAGCAGAACATTGAATTGCGGCATGTATATATGTTGAGTTAAAGAGAAAAAGTAAAAAAATTAAAAAATGTAAAAAATTTATATAAGAAATGCATAAAAAATACAATATTGACAAACTTGTTTTGTCGTTTTGAAATTGTTATCAGTTGTGCTGTATTATCTTTTTTTATAAAGGAAGATTCTAGGGAGTTACTATAAAATTTCTGGCGGATTTTACATGTTTTGAACAATGCGAATTCAGTAATGCGATTATATAATTAAATAAAAATAGAAGGAAAAATCCTTTCTTTATTTAAAACAATATTTTAATTAATAAACCAAACAATAATTGATAAAAACGTCTACCAATCGATATCTGAGAGAGAGAGGGGGGGGGGAGAGAGGGAGAGAGAAAGAGAGAGACGTAAAAATCCAACATTTACAGAAACATGACTATTGGACGCAGTTTTTAAAACATCGTTTGAGTCACATGCATATCTTGAAAACAATTCGTCACGATTTAATTAATTCAAAAAATATGTTAAAGAGGCTTTATAAAAGTAATTTTATAATAATATTTGGACGGTTACCCTTTTAAGGATTTTACATATTAAAAAAAGAGACAGTTTGATCTATATTCATTTCTTTTTTGTCTAGTGTTGGTTAGACAAAAAATATCAATCTTATCTCTTTTTTTCTTCATGCCTGATAACATTCCAGAGTTCACTGAAAGTAGATAATACTCAAGTGATCAATATTCACTCTTTCTCTCACTCACTCACTCATTATCATAATAACTCCTTTCATTGTTACTACTGCTACTATATAAAATTTTATATAGATACACTGTGTTCTAAATATATAATTTCCATGACATATAAATATTTCATTATAAAAATATCTTTATAAAAGAAATAGGATACAAGTCGAAATCTTTAGACAGACTTTATGCATATAATATTAAGTTTTTAGGTTTTAGGTTTATTTATCTTCCATGCTCCGATTCTATATCTAAGCCAAATAAAGAATAGGTCTCTACCCATTTGCAACCAGCTCCAAAACGGTATTATCTTGGAGCCTTCGATCTCTGTCCAGTTAACTGCTATTTCAGTCACGGGAATGTTGAAACTCTGTGCAATGTAAAGCATTTCTACGTCAAATGCCCAGCGTTCGACATGGAGTGCTTCGAATATAGTCCTGGCTGATTTTCTCGTTAAAAGCTTGAATCCGCACTGTGTATCCCTAATGCCCCTGACACACAACAGCCAGACTAAAAAATGAAAACCATGCATAAGAAATAGTCGGAAGTAGGATCGTTTAGCAGTCTCTTCCTTTTCTAAATGTGCTCTCGATCCACATATTACTGCATCGGATGATGCCGTTTTCTCAGGTTTGTTTATATAATCAACTGAAACAAATTTGTTAAAATTAATAACATTAGCAATATAATCAACAGCTCTATCAAAACAGAATTTTAATTTCTTTTTCAACTTACATCCTAAAACATTTATCAGACTCTCATCTAACTTCTTTAAATCGTTAAACTTGGTAGCACCATCCGCATCCGCAAACAATAAAGCACTGCCTCTTGCACTCAGCATGCCCTTGAATAAATAAATTAAAATATAATAATTTATTATAGGATTTAAAATTAACTTATAGTTTACTTGATGCTACAAATGCTTTGAAGCATTCTTTGATTAATCAATTAATAAAATTCTTTCTTCTGACTCTGGTCCATTAAATAATTCAAACCATTTGTTGCATCAAACAGACTATATCCAAAGCTTTTTAATTCTATCAGAATTGCTAACCAATCTTACAGCTCCACCTTTTCCTCTATTTTTTACAAGGTTTAATACTTTTAGAGTGTTATATTTTAATGCATAACGATGAGCTACATCGACAGTCTTATCTGTACTACCATCACTGACTACTATCACTTCATAAGTTAATCCAGACTTCCTATGATCCTCTAGATACTCTAGACATTCGTCCAACATGGGAGGCACTAAATAATAATAAAAATATTTAAATAAACATAATAATTATGTCTAGAGATAATACATATGCAACAAATCTTACATCTTTCTTCTTCATTATAAGCTGGTATAATGACACTGAGTTGTACGCTCCATGGATCATATAACGAAGGGAATGCTTCCTTGGTCTTCGTCTGACAGTTGAAAAAAAACTTTTCGCTTTTATCCCTCAAGATTTTGGGATACCGTTCGCTTGTCACATATATTATTATAAAAAACTAGAACAGACACATATTTATATTTATAAATAAACATATGTTTATGTAGAAGCCATTGCATTATAAAAATAATTACGACTGTATTTTATGTAATTGTATAAAATAAAGTCACAAAAAAATTATTCTTTAAATTATTAATTGTGATGACACGTTGTCAAAAAAGATGTGTATATATATATTTTTTATTTTTATAAGATAACCTCAGCATACCAAAATTATTATGAGTACAATCAGCAATACTCCGTAATAAAGTAGACATCCTGATGATAACATTTCGATGGTAGGACACTTAACAATGGAAAATAAAAACTAAAATATGTATATTATTGACCATATCTATTTTCTTCTTATTCCGGTAACGGAGAAGAACCCATGAATCTATATGGATAAACTTGAAAGGCGTTCGTCCGTCATCGTCGTCATCCCGGTAATTTTCGTTGGATTCGTCAAGATCCGTTCGTACACTAGCGCCAGTACATCCATTTTCGGTTTGAGAACTACCACTCATTAATGTAATTCTCTGTGCTATGATTTTATCGACAGGGTCAGAAAATGGATACAGCCACATAGTTCCCAAACCGAAAATGCATTGCACGGGCAATTTCGATACGTCACCTAAAAGCTAAAAGTATGTTTTTTATTTGAAAAGAATTGGTCTGTTTTCTGTTTCTGTGCACTGAACTCAATTAGAGACCTTATACAGGGACTTTAAACTCAATACTGGTTCAGCCACAGAAAACAGCCCTAGTGATAGACAAAATTAATAGGATAGACAAAATAAAAGGCAAAATTAATTACAAGTTAACATTTAAAATATACGCATGTATGTAGTAAATACATAATACGAATGTAACATACTATATATATATTTTTTTATTAGATAAAATATTCGATGCAATTTTATATAAAAATATTTTATGAACTTTAAATATTTAATATATTTAATATTTAAATGGAAATGTTTGTAACAAGAATAAAATCGAGAATTATTCGAAAATATATTTTGATAAAAAATAATTTAAGAAATGTTTGTACTGCAGATAATTTATCATTCCTAATGGGACTATCTGTTATTGATACTTTCCTGAATTATATTAAAAAAAGAATCAAGAATTTATCGACATTTTATGAATGGAATTGTAATTATAGAGAAAATAAAAAATCAATCTCTCATCTTTTTTGGATATATTGATATTTTCGCTATAAAAAATAGGATATAGATACCTATGGGTCGAAAATTACATCAGACTTACATGTTGCATAACAGACTTTGCCGTCTAGCGCGTATAGTGTGTGTATGACATGTATTACAATTAAAATAGTGTTTTAAAAAATATTTGAATTATTCTATATGTCGACGACCGATCCCTGCAAACAATTTGCATGTAAATTGCAGACGTGCTTGAAAGGTTTGTATAATATACATCCAGGTTAAAGTAGAGGGCAATAATGTGCTTCTAACCTCTCTTCATTATATTTAGACGTTAAATATATGTTGAAAAACTGTATTAAATTAATAAATCGCAAAATTTAAAGAGAAACAGATTCAGATAAATGAACCTTGTAATATATGAAATAAAATGGAGCTGGAATAAGACTGACAATTTATATGTGATACATGATTAGTGATAATGGCAGAATAATATAAGAAATACTCAAATTTTTACTCGAATAAAAATAAATTAATGCTTCTTTATTTTCAGACAACGTTTTTCAGCCTTCCCGTTGTCAAGACATACTTGAACAAATAAGAAAGTGTTGCTTGAAACATTCTAACTCTGAAGTTTGTGACGGTATAAATACCTCAAAACCGTACCAACATAATACTGTAGATTATGTAAGTCTAATATTTGCTTTATTAAAAAATGTAGAATTTTGTATTTTATTAGTTACATGATTATAAATCTTTCGGCAGCTGTAGATTTTATTATAATATTCATCTTTTTTAATATTTTTCAGAAAAAAGCTTTAAGATAAGCAATGCAATACGAAGAGAGAAGGGCAACAAGAGTTCCAAAAAGAGGATTTGTGTACCGTTATCCACAAGCTTTTATTTTCATGGGTACAACACTTGCTATATGTACACTGTTCAGCAAACCTATTTACGATATATTTTTTGTTAAACGACCAGAGATTGACCTTAAATCAATCAAATAAGTCTATTTACGTGAAAGAATGGATGCTGTGAAAAAAGCAAAGGAAAGATTGAGACAGTATCCGATTCTGTTAGCTCGATGTCAGGAATCAGCGTCGAAGTATGCGTCCTGCGTGTTAGCGAAATCCAATTTAGAAAAGAATGCTTGCGTTGCAGAGTTCAACGAATTGAAGAAATGTCTTGTTAAAGCCGCTGCAAGCAATAATATGAGATTATAAACGAGCTTGAAGATTAATTAGTGGCTTTCTGTGTAGTTGATTTTAAGCCTTACCTTTAGCTGTATGAAAATGATGACTGCAACATATGCTAAATTAAATATCTCGTCATTTACGTTACATTGTTTATTGGCATTTATTCTACGATTAGTATTGATACTGTACGCCCATTTTCATGACGCATATCTAACAGTACCATACACAGATGTGGACTATAAAGTGTTTACTGATGCTGCTAGGCATGTGGTAGAACAGAGGTCACCATTTGATCGTGATACTTACCGCTATTCGCCATTTCTGGCCTGGCTCTTAACCCCAAATATCATATTGCATAAGGATTTTGGAAAGATCTTATTTTCTATTGTAGATATATTAATTGCGGTCCTAATTAAAAATATTGTCGCGCGACAGAGATGTAAGGAGACTGTGAAAAATTACTGTGCGCTCCTGTGGCTTTACAATCCGTTAACGTTAGTGATCTCAACGAGAGGTAATGCAGATTCACTAGCAGTTCTTTTAGTCACACTTACATTGGATTTGTTACAGAGAGACAAAATTATATTGGCTGGATTGTTACATGGGATATCTGTACATTTCAGATTATATCCGTTGATGTTCAGTTTACCTATGTTTTTGTCTTTGTGTAAAGGTAATCGTTTTCTGCCGAACAGAGATCAATGGAAACTCGTGCTGAGTTGTGTATTCTCGATCGTTACACTAACAACCGTGAGTTACCATCTGTATGGCTTTAAATTTTTATACGAAAGTTTTATATATCATTTAGTACGTAAAGACACAAGGCATAATTTTTCCGTTTATTTCTACATGTTCTACTTATCTGCTAATCAACCACAGGATATAATTCAGAAGATCCTTACATTTATGCCGCAGTTATTATTGTTGTTGATGTCGTCATATTATTATTCGGAAAAATCCAAGTTGCCATTCGCTATGTTCGTTCAGGCGATGATCGCCGTGATATATAATCCGGTGATAACTTCTCAGTATTTCTTCTGGTTTCTGTCTCTGTTACCTCTATGTTTACTAAATATCGAAATGAATCTGCGCAGGGGCATATGTTTAGCGTGTTCTTGGATCTTGAGCCAAGCTATTTGGCTGTTAACAGCTTATTTGCTAGAATTCCAAAGTTTCAATTCGTTCTTCTATCTTTGGATATCTAGTCTCCTATTTTTTGCAGTTAATGTAAAAGTTTTAGTAGATATTATTCATCATTATAAAAGTTAGTTATAACTGTAAAATTTTTATCTTAATAAGTATACATTAAAATTGAATGACTTAAAAAGTATGACCGGAGAAATATTATTCTTACATACGTCTTTGATTAATGTACAACATAAAATAAATACACAATCAGTTATAATTTGAAAATGAATTATACAGAATTATATTTTGGTGTTCGAATGAATGTACAGGATGTCAAAATTACAATTTTTAGTTTATGAATTCCTACAAATTTATTTATGTTAAACCACGTAAATGTCATTTATTTTCGTACTTCTTAAATTTTCATTAAGCACGTGAGCAGGATAAGTTTGTTTGAGAAAAGATTATCTATTTATAAAACTTCTTCGAATTTTTATTGCAACATTAGAATTTTACATATGTAACTTTCTGACATCCTGCACTATTAAATTCTTGGAAAATACCTGGGGTAGCAGATAGTGGATTGTTCAAAAAACTTGAATTTATTTAAGTTTTAATAAAAAAGCACATATTATCTACAAGTCTGATTATTTATAAAGTATCACTTTCATTATTCTACGCGGTACTTATATCGGCGTTAAAAATATCAGACGAGTTATAATGATTCTTAATTTTATTCTTTTGCAGGAATACAAAATACTTATTTACAGATAGCTTCATAAAGTAATAGTGGTAGATTCTGAAAAGGAATGTAGATATATTAGTAATAATACAATAATCGTAAATCTTACTATAGTAATCTAGATTAATTCTGAGCAAGAGCATCTCTTGGATCCGAGAGATTTCTTTATCGATTCGATTGTTCTAAGCTGCTAAATATCATGACAGTAATATTATTGGGTCATTTCTTGTCTTGATTGCACGAGTAATATGCAAATACTTGCATTAAATTTAAATTTTTCTCTCACCGCAGTCTATTCGTCTAATTATCCGTGGCGATATTTGCCACGTAAAAAAGTATCAAATGAAAAATGTATCAAATTACTTTTACATTATCTAAGTATATTTCTACTAACTCTTTAAAATAAAGAAGAAAGGAATCGTGTTACATTACTCTATTTCTGAATATAACTACGTTTGATTTACGTAGAGGTGTCGGATTGATTTCCGCAGATTGTTCCACAGAAACGTGCACTCCTTTCGGCGAAAATTTTTAGCGACACGAAATGGCCCAATGGATACGAGTCGAAAGAAAAAGGAAACCGAAATAGATCTTCTCTTTTATATAACTACGGGTCTTTTTACGGCGGAGATGATGATGAAGTGCAACATATAAAAATAGCATTATTTTCTTTCATTGCTTTCGTTACAGTTTGCTCAACTGTGTGCTATATGAAGTAATCTATTTTATTTGTTCTCTCTTTCTCTCTTTCTTGAAACGGATACACACGACTGATCTTCGTCAAACGCCTGCGCGGAACGTTTGCACGGAGATCAGTCCGGATAACATCAGGGGTAGGGGGGCGAAGTTCCGGGTCACGCAGAGAATGAAAGTACAGGCCACCGCGATCGAAGCGATAAAAATTATAAATAATCTCCATCTTGGCCGCGCGGCCCGGAAGTTACCCCCCAGAGAAAATGTTTTACATTATTCACAAACTGATCCACCGTCTCGTTAAGCCTTCCCTGAAAGAAAAATTATCGATAGTATACAAAAGAATCGTACGCGATTACGTAAGATATAGAAGACTATACTTGGGCGAATACGGCAACGAAAGTCTTGCTTTCCGAGGCACATACATATGTCACACATGGAAAATGTAAATTCGTCTTCCGCACAAAACCAAACATTTTAGGGGGAGAAAAAAAAAAAACACTTTAGAGTGTGTCACTCACGAATAAAGCGATTGGCGCAACAAATTTCTTTTTCTTTTTTTTTTTCTTCATAGTATATTAATTTCGATCAATTCAACTCCATATTTTTCGAAGATCAAACGAAAGCTTCGTGGACGCGAAACATTTCGTAGAAATTTTTTTTGTCGATATCCTTCTGTGAAGGATTTTGGGCCGGCTAGAATAATTGTGGCACTAAGCTAAACGTAATATCGCAACAATTTTCGAGAATAGAGAGACAAATGATAAAGCATCGCTTTCTAAAGAATTTTATGACACCCAAACGAAGTATCGTCGTTATTTTCAGTGACTTTATGATTATTATTGCTCTTATATTGTTGCTACGTCACTATTATCCTAGTGTCACAATTACTCTGCTAGAGCCTACGCGCCGATACTAAATAGAATGGGTGCACCGATGCATACATTAATGTGCTCTTTTAAGAAAGACGGTTGGCTCGGGGTTGCTCCTAGCATTTTCTTTGCAACGATGCAACGTTGGTCGCACAAAGATTACCTTGTTTCATCTCGGCTTGTGCCTTGCACAAAATGAGAAACATACAACGTTACGCGGAAGCGAGATACGATGTAATTTCCAATATATCGACGCATCGATAATTGCGCACTGAATAAGGGAGCATAAAAAAAAATAGCGTGCTGCAATATCCGAGGTATGAGTCAAGAAAAAATATGATACGAGAACGAAGGGAAACGTCAGACTAACGGGGGACTATGTTATGGCAAATATTTAATAAAATATAATAACATCGGTGATATATAGGTATATATACACATTACAGTCTATGGAAACATAAGATAAACGGCACTACATTCGCTTAACGATAAGTACGTAAATGGATTACAAATAACAAAATAATAATAATAATAATAATAATAATAATAATTACTACATAATTATTTTGCACGAAAATGCGATCACCAATAAGAGATAAAATGTACATCATGATAAAATAGATTGTATATATATATATATATTTATATTTCTCAAGTTATAAAATATTGCTAGTAAAAATTGCGTTTTTTAAAACACATTTCTAAATATTATATTTCCAAAATCTGTGATTGGTGCAACTAAAAAGATTCATATATATGATAAATATTGATATGTATAAAGAAGGTATAGGCATATTTACTTTAATTATACATTTTAACGATAATATAATTAATTGACAAAAATCAGCAATATTTTTGACGATATTGAACGCTCAAAATAAAACGCTTTTGAAATGCTTTGATTCATCATAATTGATAATTATGGATAATTGACCTCATTGTATCTTCATCTTATACTTGTGCTTCAAAAGAAGAAGACACGATTCACCAGATAAAGTAAAAATATTTTGCTTCAAAAAGTCCGAAAAATTAATTAAAAATTTCGTAAAAAGATAAATACATAGAGTTACACCAGTCACATATACGGAAATATAATATGCGTGTGTAAAGGAATAATTAATAATAAAAGTAATTAAAGCACTCGGTGAACGTGCACACAAATCATGCGACCACGTACAGGACGTAATTCAAATAATACACATGTAATGTAACGTAAAATAAAATCTCTTTGGCTTTTTACACGATTGAAAAGAAATACGCTCCGCGTAAATGTATGAGGGTGTATCAGAAAATTGCGCATATCCTCCCGACGATAATTCTTTTTTCGCGAGGCTGAAATTGATTGTTTCTTTTTGCACAGAAAAGATTGAATTGCACGTCTCGTTACCTATCACA